AGCGGCGGAGGCGGCGTCTCGAAGCCGAGCATGCGGAGCCGCTCCAGCGCGGCTGGAGCGCGGTAGAGGCGGTCCTCGAGGCTGCCGCCGCGGCAGAGGGGGTAGACGAGGCACGCTCTCGCCGGCGCCAGGCAAGCGCCGAGCAGAGGGAGCAGGGACTGGTGGCACGCCGTGCTGAGCGTGCGCACCTCGCTCTGCAGCTCGGCGAGGCCTTGGGCGCCGACACCGACCAACGCCGTCTTGACGGCGAACCCGCAAGCGACGCGCGGGAGAGACGGCAGCGCGTCGGCGCGGTAGACGCGCCCGAAGCCTCCCTCGCCCACCTTGCGCGCCTCGGCAAAGCCGTCGGTCGCCGCGATGAGCTCGTCGAGAGGGACGGCAGCGGGCGGCGCGGCGGCGGTGGCGAGGGCGGCGACAGTCGCCGCCGCCGACGCTGCCGCAGCTGCCGCTGCCGCTGCCGCCGCCTCCGCTGCCGCCGCCTCTTGAGCCTCCGCCGCCGCCACGGCCGCCACTGCCGCCTCTACAGCCGCCGCCTCCGCCGCTGCCTCCGCCGCCTCCGCCCTCATCCTCGCCTCCTCCCTCTCCCTTGCCGCCTCCTCCCTCGCCCTCGCCTCTGCCTCCTCCCTTGCCCTCGCCTCTGCCTCCTCCCTTGCCCTCGCCTCCGCCTCCTCCCTTGCCCGCGACGCCGCCTCCGCCTCCTCCGCCGCCCGCGCCGCCTCATCCGCCTCCTCCGATGCCCGCGCCGCCCGCGCCGCCGCAGCTGCCTCAGCCGCCCGCGCCTCGTCCGCCGCCCGCGCCTCCTCCTCCGCCGCCCGCGCCGCCGCCTCCGCCTGCCTCGCCGCCGCCTTCTCCTCCTTCTGCCGCTGCCGCTTCAGCGCCCTGGCCTCGCGGACCTTTCGCTCCGCCAGCTCGTCGCGCAGCCGCCGCGCCGCCCGCAGCGCCTCCGAGCCGTCGGCGGCTTCGGTGTTTGCGTTGATCGCCGCCCTGAGCGCCTCGAGATCGGCGTCGCCTCGCTCGCACGCCTCAACCGCCTCGCGCAGCGCAGCCTCGGCAGCATCGCGCGCCTCCGCCGCCACCGCTGCCGCTCCCGCCTCGCGTGCGGCCGCCGCGACCTGTTCGGCTGATTCTGCGACCGCCGTCTCCCCCTCAGCCTCTGCTGTGCTCGACGTGTGCTCCTCGAGGGTGCGCACGCACTCGGCGTGGCCCTTCTCCTTGGCCCACTGCAGCGCCGTCTCGCCGCTCGCACTGCGCGCCGCATCATCTGCGCCCGCCCGCAGCAAGCGCCGCACGACGGTGAGGTGGTTGAATATGGCGGCGATCATCAGCGCGGTGCCACCGTTGCTGTTCTGCAAGTTGACATCAGCACCGTGCTGCAACAGCAGCTCGACCACCCGCTCGTGGCCGTAGCCGGCGGCGACCATCAGCGCGGTGACGCCGTCGCTGTCCTGCAGGTTGACCTCCGCGCCGTGCCGTGTCAGCAAGTCGACCACCCGCTCGTGGCCCGGGCCGGCGGCGGCCATCAGCGCGGTGCCGCCTTCGCCGTTCTGCAAGTTGATCTCCGCGCCGTGCCGAAACAGCAAATCGACCACCCGCTCGTGGCCTTCGCCGGCGGCGAGAATCAGCGCGGTGTAGCCGGCGCTGTTCAGCAGGTCGACCTCCGCGCCGTGCCGCAGCAGCAGCTCGACCACCCGCTCGTGGCCTTGGCTGGCGGCATTCATCAGCGCGGTGTCGCCGTTGCTGTCGTGCCGGTTGACCTCAGCGCCGCGCTGCAGCAGCAGCTCGACCAGCCGCTCGTGGCCATACACGGTGGCGCCCATCAGCAGCGTGAGGCCGCTCACGCCGCCTCTCTCGTACGTCGCGTCGGCCCGCCCGCCACTGTCAAGCCACGCCAGCACCGCCTCCTCCTCGCCTCGCTCAGCCGCTGCCACGACCGCATCGGGGACTGCCACGACACCGCTCGGCGCCCGCCCCGCCGCCACCGCTGGAGATGGCGTCTTCGCGACTCTCGATCCAGCCGAGGAAGCGCCGCCGGAGGAAGCGCCGCCCGCGCCTTCGCCGCCGGCTGCTGTCGCAGTGGGCCGTCCCGCCAGCATATCCTGGACGTGCTTCTTGAAAGCCTCGACGCACTCGGCGTGGCCCTGCTCCTTGGCCCACTGCAGCGCCGTTTTGCCGCTCGCAGTGCGCGCCGCGGTGTCTGCGCCCGCCCGCAGCAAGCGCCGCACGACGGCGGGGTGGTTGAAGCAAGCGGCGTTCATCAGCGCGGTGCCGCCGTCGCTGCTCTGCAAATTGAGCTCAGCGCCGCGCCGAATCAGCAAGTTGACCACCCGCTCGTGGCCTTGGTCGGCGGCGAGAATCAGCGCGGTGCCGCCTTCGCCGTTCTGCAGGTTGATCTCAGCGCCGTGCCGTATCAGCAAGTCGACCACCCGCTCGTGGCCTTTGAAGGCGGCGTCAATAAGCGCTGTGAAGCCGCCACTGTTCCGCAGGTTGATCTCCGCGCGGTGCCGAAGCAGCAACTCGACCACCCGCTCCTGGCCTCGGACGGCGGCGCTCATCAGCGCGGTGACGCCATTGCTGCTCTGCTTGTTGACCTCAGCGCCGCGCCGTATCAGCAACTCGACCACCCGCTCGTGGCCGTGGGCAGCGGCACCCATCAGCAGCGAGAGGCCGCTCACGCCGCCTTGCTCGTACGTCGCGTTGGCCCGTCCGCCACTGTTAAGCCACGCCAGCACCGCCTCCTCGTCGCCTCGCCCAGCCGCTGCCACGACCTCGTCGTAGACTGCCACGCCACCGCTCGGCTCCGCCGCCGCCAGCGACAGATTACCCGGCCGCACCCGCACGCTCTCGCCGCCGCCCTCGAGCGCCACCGCGTACCGGCCGCCCTCGAAGCTCCCCGCCACGCCCCACTGCCCGTTCAGCTCGGGGCGGGAAGAGAGCCCGCCGAGCACGACTCGCTGTCTGAGCAGCGGCGCGTCCACCGCTGCCGCTGCAGCTGCCGCGCCCGAGGAAGCGCCGCCCGCCCCTGCCCGGCCGTCTGCAGCCGCCGCCGCCTCCGACAAGACCTTGACGCACTCGGCGTGGCCCTTTTCCTTGGCCAGCTGCAGCGCCGTCTTGCCGTTAGTAGTGCGCGCCGCGTCTGCGCCCGCCCGCAGCAAGCGCTGCACGACGGCGGGGTGGTTGAGGAAGGCGGCGCCCATCAGCGCGGTGACGCCGTTGATCTGCAGGTCGACCTCCGCGCCGTGCCGAATCAGCAACTCGATCACCTGCTCGCAGCCGTTGTAGGCGGCGTGCAACAGCGCGGTGGCGCCGTTGCTGTCCTGCAGGTTGACCTTCGCGCCGCGCCGCAGCAGCAGCTCGACCACCCGCTCGTGGCCTTCCTGGGCGGCAGTCATCAGCGCGGCCCAGCCGTTACTGTCCTGCAGGTTGATCTCCGCGCCGCGCTGCAGCAGCAACTCGACCACCCGCTCTTGGCCGTAGCGGGCGGCGCCCATCAGCAGCGTGACGCCGCTCACGCCGCCACTCTCGCACGTCGCGTCGGCCCACCCGCCGCCCTCGAGCCACGCCAGCACCGCCTCCTCCTCGCCTCGCTCAGCCGCTAGCACGACCGCGTCAAAGCAGCTTTGGGAACCGGCACCCACCATCGTTTGGGTTCCGGCTCTTTTGCGTGGGTAGGGACCCCGGGTCCATACTTCTACACCAACCACAAGAACGAACCAAAAAAAAACCGCCAGTCTCCGTCCGTCGCGTGCGTGAGGTCGTTCCCACTAGTTTGCCTGTGCGTACAGCTACGGTGGCATCGGGCCACCGACAGTTGTCGCCGGGCGGCAGCGGCACGACGGACGACACCTGCAGCGGCGCGTCTCCTCCGTTGAGCGAGAGAGAGGCAGCGGCTCCGTTAGCACGGGCTCTGCAAAGTCCAAAGAGGTTGTCGTCGGTCGGCGCGTCGATGCTCGCGACCTGCAGCGGCTCCTGACCCCGCACCGTTCCATCAGCACACGGTCGAGTGCACCGTGGATCCGAGCAACGGCGTCGACTTCCCCTCCTAGCCAGGCGGGCGGCGGCGGCGCGAGGTTGCAGCGCACCTGACTTCTTTTGGGGGACTGGGAGCGGCGGGCTTCCGACCACTCTGTGACTGTTCTCGAGGCGCCTCTGGCACCGTGTCGCGCACCGAGCAGCCGACGGCGAGTGCTCGCCCGCCTTGCCCCCTACCCCTCCCCCGGGACGGGGCAGCGCCAGCGGCGCGTGTTGCACCCCCGGCTAGCTGCGAGTGCGGTGTTTACAGGGATTTCAAGGAGAGGTGTGGTGCTAGCCGTCGCCCACCCTCGGGCGTCTACCACTTCCTATCTCCTTTAACTTTCTAAAATTCTTTTATACGCATCGGTTATACGCATCGGGTGTCGAGTATGGCGACGCTGGGTTCCGGCTCCTACCCGGATAGGGGGTCTGTTGCACTGGCTGGCCCCTCCCTCCCAGATAGGTAGCACTTGGAGCACTTGGAGTGCAGTCATTAACCTCACATCCAGGGCCGGGGAGCTCAGAAGCGCACCCAGCGGGCCGGATGATTGGTGTCGGGTTACGGGCAAGGGAGCCCTAGCCCCGGGGGTGCGCGTTCGCAGGGCCATAACACGGGTCTCCGAGGGTTGGCTCCGTGTACCGGGTTTCCCCTAGCTTAACTGCAGAACGCCGCCCCTCTACTCGGAGCTAAAGAATACTCTCCGAGGGATAGTACCGCGCTCCGGGTTTCCCCTAGCAGCAGAACGCCCCCTCTACTCGGAGCTAGTGGACACGACACTAGCTACTGATACGAGAATACATACCGCCCGGTAGGTAGGTTGGTCTTGTTTGGCCCAAAAGGGCCCTGCAATAGGTAGGTACCCCCTATTTTCATCTTTTTTCGCTTCGCTGCGCGGCCTGGGGATAGGTAGGTAGGTAGGGCGTTTTGGCGCGAGTCAGTGGCACAGACCCCCTATCCGGTAGGAGCCGGAACCCAGCTCTCGGGTGAACCCTGTTGATGCACGGGTACATACACGGGTACATACATGAGCCTGCTCCTCCCGACGCTCGCCCTCGCCTCCCGCATCGCCAGCACGAGGCACGGCGCCATCGACGACCACGACGGGTACGACTGGCGCCGGTCGACGTCTGAGAATCATCGCAACCCGGCCGCACCGTTGCGTCATGAATTCGCCGCGTCACGTGCGCGGCTCGACTACTCGTGGCACGTTCACTACTCGCTGCGTCGCCAGGAGCAGCAGGACGCCATCATCCGGCGAATGCTCCGCGATGGCGCTGTTGGCGGTGCTGAGCATTCCACGCCGGCTGGCCGCGGCGTGCTGCAGGGGTTGCGGCAGGTGCTGTCGCGGTGGCAGCAGCAGAGGCGTGGCGCGGTCGGCGCGCCCGCGCAGCCGTGGGCCATTTTCACGGCAGGCTGTATGGGCGCCGGCAAGACACACGTAATGGAGCTGCTCGATGAGAACGGTGACGCTGCTCTCTACCGTCTGCTCTCCGCTCTCCTCTCTCCGCTCTTTGCTCTCTCTTCTCTCCGCTCTGCCCACTCCTGTCCCCTCCCCCCAGGCCTGCTTCCCCTCTCGTCCTTCGTGCGCATCGACGTGGACCGCATCCGCGCCGCGCTGCCAGAGACGCGCACCTACAAGCCGCTCCTCTGCGACCTCTTCCTGGACCTGTCCTGGACCTTTCCTGGAACCTTCCTGTAGGCGCACCTACGAGCGGCTCAACGCGCAGACGGCCGGACTGCTCACGCAGCTCGAGGCGCGCCTGGGTCGCAGGAGGCGCGGCAGGAAAGAACTACGCGGAGGCACGCGCGGCTTCTTTGTACCTGCATATAGGCGGGCTGCCTCGCAGACGCGTCCCAGTCTTGTGTTGCGTGCCCGTGGTCGCACGCGGCGCGAATTTCTTTTTCCAGGCGGGCTGCATCGCAGAGGTGGCCACAGAGGAGGCGTCTCTCCCACGCCAACGGCTGCGCGCCGTCGGCTTGTGGGCGGTGTCTCTTCACACCTCCGGCTGTGAACAGGTGCGTCGCGGCGCCTGGTCTCTTCATGCCGTCGGCCTGTGGGCGGCGTCTCTTCACACCTGCAGCTGTGAACAGGCCTTCCGCCGCGGGTTCCATGTCTGGGTCGACTCCTCCTTGCGAGACAGGCGGGCGTTAGTGAGAGAGTGGGCGAGAAGAGTAGCCGAGATCAGCCGAGGTTGGCGGAACGTCGCCGAGAGTCGCCGAGAGTAGCCGAGAGTAGCCGAGAGTAGCCGAGAGAGAGCCGAGAGAGGAGCCGAGAGAGGAGCCGCAGGGGAGCGAGTCGTCTATCTCGGCTCACACCTCGGCTCACATCTCGGCTCACACCTCGGCTCACCTCGGCTCACACCTCGGCTCCCCTCGGCTCACCTCGGCTCACCTCGGCTCACCTCGGCTCACCTCGGCTCACCTCGGCTCACCTCGCCTCCTCTGCGAGTCAGGCTCTGGTGGTCACGCGAGCTGTGAACAATACAGCTGTGAACAATACATACACACCTGCAGCTGTGAACAGGCTCTGGTGGTCACGCGAGCTGCGGCGGCTGCGCCGCGTCTACCCAGCCCACCGCCTAGGTAGGTAGGTAGGAAGGTGAAGAACAGCCAGGCTCGGACTGGACACATGCGCGGTCTGGGTGGACGCGGGACAGAAGACGACGGCACGCTGGAGCGACACACAGACACAAACAAGCTCACTAGACACACCGCCTCGGCATAGCACACACGCACACACACACACACACACACACACACACACACACACACACACACACACACACACACACACACACACACACACACACACACACACACACACACACACACACACACACACACACACACACACACACACACACACACACACACAGTGCACGTCACTGCGTCGTGGGCCAAAAAAAAGAAATGCGGTCACCCACCTGGGACGTCTTTCCACAGGCATCGTGCACGTCACCGCGTCGTGGGCGAGAGTGGTCGAGCGAGAGGCGAGGCGAGGCGCCGAGACGGGGAGGCGCATCCCGCCGCCGCTGCTGGCGCAGGTGTACGATCAGGTGCCGCGCGCCGTGGCCGCGCTGCGGCGGCACGTCGATCTTCACATCGAGGTGGACAACGACACCTCCCAGCCGCGGTGTGCCCCCCCCCCCTCCAGACACTGCTGTTGGATGGTGAGGCGAAGTCTGTGCTCTCCTCCCGCCCAC